TTTTTTTTTTCATTATGTGAATTCACCAATTCGTTTCATTCAATTTATTGTCAGTTCCTTTTTGCGAAAATTCTTTGCCCATCCTCCATTTATTTCCTTTGTAAAAATGCGCACACACATCTCCTCGTATTATTTTTTTTAATTTTATTTTTTTTATCATCACTACTAACAACGTTCACATATTCGAAATTATTGGTTTATGAAATTTGAACCCTCCTCCATTCTAAAGTTATGTTTGTAGATTCATTTAGAATTCCATTGAGTTGACCGGAAACTAAGGCTCATTCTATGGTAATAAATTAAAATTAACGTTAAGATAGAAACTAAGCAGTAACAGTACAACAGTACAAAACTTGCATCAATCGCCGAGATCTCTAAATTTTTTTTATCAAAACCGCCTTAATTTTCAAGCCTTCGAAGTAATATTCCCACAGCAATCTGAAGCGAATTTTTCGGACTGCGGGAAGTTCAATTAGGATCGATTAGGATCCACAAAGCTAATAGTTCTGTGTCCACTTCGAAATTTCCGTTTTTCGTTCGTCTCCAGCGCCAAATAACGTGCATTTTTTTTTTCTCAAATATAACTTACATCCCAAATTTGACCCAGATCGGATCGTTAGATGTATATCTAACATTTTCAAAATAACTTGACTAGCGCCATCTGGCGGTTTTATTTCGTGATACCATTTTACAACTTTGGTCCGCTGTTTTGTAAGTACAAGGGGAAGTGGTAGCCCTATAAAAATGATTAGTACGGCGAGTGGAGTTTATTTAGCCACGTTCGTTGTTATTGTTGCACGAAAATTCACCAATGAGTTTTTGTGGAGTCTGCCCTTGGCCAGATATAGATCTAGGCCTTTCCAGTTAGTTAGACCCAACTGTTGTGGAAACGTAGCCACGTTCATCGGTCTTTAAAAAAAATTGGGCGTACTATTGGGTTAAGAGAAAACGACTAATACATACATCTTTTGTTGATAAGTACTTCCATATTGCCCACTTTAAACGCCTACATGTCCTATAACTTACCTTAACGTTTTACTTTTCCTGCGTATGGATACCCCTTTAATACCTTCACCTCATTTTCACAACTTGTTTTATGTAAAAATATTTGTTTCTCATTCTCATCAAATCTGGCTTATTCATATATATGTTATTATAAAAGTAACAAAATTGCCACATGCACAAAAAAAAACTAAAATATTACCACAAACAATTCGTTCAAAAAAAAGGAATATCCAATTAAATTCTCATTTGGTTTCGTANCAAAAAAAAAACAAATGCTACACAAATTTCCTCTTTTGCATGCGCGGCTACAAAATCAGCAGTTCGGCTAGCCCCGAAAGTGGATTGGGTACATCGCACACCTCACTACCGGGTTCAGGACAGGGTAGTGCGAACGAGAATGCCATTGGCGAGGATGGATATGATGAGACGGAAATTGAGGTACTGCAACCGTTGGGCACATGTCGAGCGCTCTATCCCTTCGAAGGTGAGTGTAAACAGACTCCTATGTTGTGGAAATAATTAAATATCGTTTTTTTTGTTTTAATCTAATAGCGACCAGCGAAGGCAGCATACCAATGATTGAGGGCGAAGAACTGCAAGTGATTGAAATCGATCAGGGTGATGGCTGGACGCGCGTGCGCCGTGCCAATGCCACCAACGGCTGGGATGAAGGATTTGTGCCGACTAGTTATATTGAATGTACACTGTATGCATAAGTCAAATAATTAATTAATTATTGCGTTTAGCAACATTTAAATTAATTAATCGATTAGTTTTGAGTTAATTTAAGTTACTGAGTTGATTTAAGTTAGTTCGTTTTGATGAATGTTGAAAGTTTGTATATTTCTGATTTCTGAATTCGGATTTCGATTTAATTTTTGCTTTGAATTATTGGAAAGTTTATTTTCATAATTTCATATTTTGTATAAAAAAGTGACTTTACTTACTAATTTTGCTTCTGTCTGCTCCCCAAACCCATAACATATGTATGCCATTTATATATGTATTTATGAATGAACGAATGAATGAACGACTGTCAACAATCAATTTAGTCCATATATACATTTGATCGAAAGCATGGCATTCATTTATAGAAGCACTGAAAAACGCTGCGTAGATGTCGAAGGCGCTGAGTCAAATTCAAGTACACCGACTATTGAATATTTTGAGAAGCAGCAAAGTAACGGGTGATTTTTTTGAGGTTAGGATTTTCATGCATTAGT